ATGAAAATTAGAAACAAGGATTACAAAAAAAAAATGGCATTAAAGCATTATAGACTTTAAAAGCTCTTGATTTCTTAATTTAAAGCTTTTGTTTCATCATTCTCTTATTTAAAGTGTGTTGGAGGCTTCCTTTTATAGTGGGAGATTATCTCTAACCATTGTAAGTCATTGGAATTAAGAAAGAGTTGTTGTTTCCTTCAAATTTATTTTTATTCAGACTTCTTATGTGAAGGGGGATCAATTTTGGGATTGATCATCATGTTTCCAGACTAAAAGATATAGCCATTAGAAATGAGAGAATCGATTTTAAGATCGATCCTATATCTTGAAAAATAGAAGAAGAGCATTCTAACTTGAGAAGATCAATCTTCATGTTAGGAAAATAGTGGAAGAGCATTCTAGAAATAGAGGATCGATCTTATTCATGAAGGAATTGATCCCTTTCTTCAAATTTGCATATTTTGACATTTTTTACCAAGGAAAATAGGTTGATTTTTCTCAAACATATTTTTACTAATAATATTCGATTAAGAGTATGAATTGTAGAGAATAATTAAGGTCTAATAATATTTACTAATATTTCAAAAATTGATTTAAAAATAATGTCAAGGAAAAATTACTAAATAAATAAGTTTGAAAATCATAAATTTAACTTAATGTTTTGTTATATCAAAATCTTAGATCAATTCAAAGCTAACATTTTGACCTAAATATTTTTAGCACACTTAATCCAACTGGATGATGTTGGATTCTTGCTGAGCCTTTCTACTCATATTTTTTATTTTTTCTTATTTTTTAGATTTCAATAATTACACTTTCAGAGAATTAGTTTTGACGAGTGCTTTGTTAGCAAGTTTAACATCTATCCTTTGCTAGGTGTAACTTTTGAAGTAACCATTTTGATATCGATTTAGAAGATTGTTAGCTAAAATATTTTGTATCCATTGATCAAGTTGTATCATATATAATTTTGGAGACTTGAGATTTTGTAATGTGCAAATTTTGGAGATTTTTAAAGGTAATGATTTGACTTAGTATGATATTTGTTACCTTGCATGCTTATGAGATTTGATTTATAAGTATGCAGTGTTATTATATTCTAAATTCATGGATTTGGGGTGTGATAGTTGGATTTACATATATATAGTTGCTCGCATCTCAAGTACGCATTGTTTTTTGAAGGAGGATTATGGGGTATGATGCTAATACATTTCTTACACATAATTATATTTCCATAACTAACTTTGCTTTTTTACAAACTAAAAAATTTATATTTTAATAAATGTTGATTAATTTTAAGATTTTAATAAAAGAATAAACTTTCTTAGTAAACAACAACACTTAAATAGAAAAGATTGATGATGAGTTTCTTTTTTTATAAAAAAAAAAAAAAAAGTCATCAAGATGTTTTAGTTCTTGGATCGCCTATTATGACATACATTATCATTATCGATTGAGGTTTTTCTTTTTTATCAAAGAACTAAAGATTTTCTTTATCTCCAAGTTTGTTTATATTGTTAATATTTACTTATTGATGAAATCCATGAAATAAATACGCTTTGTTAAAGTAATTACAATGAGTTGTAATTATGAGATCCCCATTATTGCATACAAGCATTATACTTTTTTTTTTTATATATATTTACCGATACTTATTAATAAACATGTTCTAATAGATCTTCTAATAGATCATACATTCCATCATCCAAAGGTTCATCATTAACTTGCTTTTTCATTGGAACTAGTATTCCCATCAACTAGATTCCTAAAAGGTGGCGTCCTGAAATCAAATTGGTCACCATGATAAATCTGGTTGTTGTAGCTCTTTGATATACCTTTCAAAAGCAAATGATCTTCAACTTCAACCTAACATCTAGTAAATACATCTAAGCAATCTCAACGATGACAAAATTTTCATTGTTTTCCCATATTGGTGTAAACAAATTTCATGAAAGTTGAAACTCCAAAAACATATTTGCTAGAATATTTGTACTCCACCATCCAACTTTTATTCATGTTAATAGTTTGTTCTTAAAAAATTTAACACCAAACAAAATTACCTTTTGAAACTAGGATATATAAAAATCAAGACACAAAGCATGTGAGATATTTGTTGAAGTATAACATAATAATTAAATTTGAAACAAGTATGAGAAAATCCAAAACATTATATATTGTCAATATTCTTAGTTCCTAAACATGCATGTAAAATGGATTAAGAGTCAAACATTTATAAACTTAGCTCTGACATAACCTAAGGCTAGTGCATCACTTAAAGGCTTTTGTTAGTTTCAAAGAAGAAATAATGCAACTCTAAAATATACTAAAGTTCTTCTTGTTTTTGTTTGTGATTTTTCAAGTGAAAAAGCCAAAGAGAGACATTTCTTTTTCTTGGCTGCTACAAATAAAAAATAAAAGTACAGACTGCTTGTATTGCTTCATAACTAAACTAAATTAGAAATTCATTCACTATGAAATAACATATAACTAAACAAATAAAATACTATGTCTCAGATCATACAAAATACGAAATTACATTTCTTTTTTTTTTTTTTTTTTACTTTTTGAAACATTAACCCTCGCCGTTCTGGTATCCTCTGTTTTCACAAAAGAGGTATTGCTTCCAACTACTGTAATGCAGTATGTACAGATTACAGACAATTCAGAAATCTCAAAACTAAAATGACTCCCACACTATCATAAAGATCAGGTGCCACGTGAATTTTACCATGTGATAACAAGATCACATATATCCATACTTTAAAACCACATCTAGGCATGCTTATATTTTACATTTAACAAAAAATTAATATGTAGTTTCTAAAATCAATAAATTTATATATTTTAATGGTTTCCCCTTTTCTTTGTTAACCGAACTAGAGAAGCATAATTGTTGACCGAAGAAAAGTATTGCCTATCAAACGAGCAATCAAACAACTACATTCAAATCAGAATTGCTTTCAAAACAAACACAGGTACCAAAGACTAATTAAAAGGAAAGCCAAATAATTATGAATGGATTGAATACGAACCTTGGCTTTTAGTCGATATACATCAGCTCAATATGCTTTATATGCCTTTTGGATAGAGAATTTGAAAACTGGAAAAAGACGACGGAGGGGCGGTTGGACTCTAGAGAAGACGAAACGCACAAATAAAAATTGATTAGATTCTTTTTAGAGGTTTCCGGAGGGAGAGTGAAATATCTAGTATAAAAATCCTTCTTCCTTTTAAACGGTGAAGTTGAGGGGAAATTTTTAATAACTTGGTAAGTGAAATAACTTAGTAAAAGAATCCTTCTTGTAAAAACGTTAATTAAACGCTTTCCTTTGATAACATTTCTTTAAATGTTAATTTTTTTTAAAGTCAGCTAGTGTAGTGTAGAAAAAAATTATTTTTAGCTTTTAAAAAAATTCATTAAAAAATTCATTCTTTTTGCAGTGGAGGTTTTTTTTTTTTTTTTTTTTTTTTCGCTAATCGGTGCTAATTTTTTTTAGTTAATTTGTTGGTCACTGTATAATTGGTTTATTTTAATTAGAAAATTTAATAATAAAATGTGTATTTTAATTTTTTAAATTATATAAATAAAAGCCCTAAAAATTAAATTATTATATGCAATATTTAATCTATTTTTTTCAATTAAAAATTTCTCAGATATGTAAAAACAAAACCATTTATTAATTAATTGCATTTAGTGTAAGTTAAATTGTCACTCATAAATTATATTCCGATTTGAATTTACTAGTGACGATAAATAACACCATTTTTCATATAATATTATACATTTATGTGTCAAAATTATAATTTCAATAATAATTAATTTTTAGTAATGAATGTGCACGTCACTCTATTTTCTTGAGAGAATAACAAACTAAAATTGTCATCAATAACACATAATGTCACCTATTAAAATTTCATTACAAAAAAAGATGATATGCAATACATCACTGATATAGTGTTCAATTAGTGACAAAAATCATAATGTCACCTAAAATTCGAAATGTTACAAAAAAAAAAAACCCTTTTTTAGTGGCAAATTTCTAGTGACATTATCATGTGATGATTTTATATATCACTATATAGAATATTAAAATAGCATAAAAATGTGATGAATAACAGTATTTGTCATGTTTGACATATTTTGTGTGACAAAATGTTACAGTTGTTTAGAAAAATTATCATAAATGACTAGATTTGTTGTAGTGATGCTTCTTTATTAAAAATGACCATTGACAAAATTGTGAAATTGGTACATACGATATGCCTACTTGTGATGTGAGCAATTAATTAATAAGTTGGAATATGCGTACACTTGAATTAATACGTAACTGCTTGAATCAAAACATTCCAAACTTTTTTGTGAGTATAGTGCATCGTTTATACGAGTTTTATTATTATTATTATTTTATTAACATATGAGGATGTCCAAAGCAAAACAATGGTTCCAATTTTGAACTTTATCCTTCCTAAGGAAGGTTAATTACTAAGCCTTTTTTTTTTTTTTTCCTTTTTATCAAGTTATTTGTCTTTAACCTTCTTTTTCATCTATTTTAACACTACATTCTTTTACATAATCTTTTATATTGACTTAGTAAATTCAAAATTTTATTCTTAAAATGCTGCTGAATCTTAAAAATGAAAACAAAACTCTGCAATAGGATTAAACTTTGTGAATTTGGACGAAATAGTTAAGAACATTTAATTGTTATTTATTTAAAAAAAAAAAAAAAACCTTAATTGTTACATTATTATTGTGTAAAAGGAAAATTAAGATTATAGATGTACCCACAATATATAATACCACAAATAAAACCGAATTAGTCTATATGAAAGGAAAATGACCTCAAATAATCCAATTAGTCAAACACCCTACCTGTAAAATCAATGATAAATTTCATAAGCATGGAGGAAAAGCAGTTCCATGAAATATTTGGAATGCATAACCTGGTAGAGCCGTAAGGGTAATTTATATATATGCACAAAATTAATTAAGGATATGCCTAAAAGTTCCATGCAAAATCATCCATGGAGCTCAAATCACGACACATTGCTGGAGGGAAGAGTGTGGACTCAAGAAGGCCCAGGTCAAAGCTACAATTCTCAAATGAAGCATCCATACTCATTTCATCAATTTTGTCCATTGCCATCTCGGAAATCTTCTCCTTCTCTTGCTGTTGTTGTTGTTCTTGTGGTTTTACCCCTTCCACTCTTGGTTCTTCAAAGGTTTCAACCATAGCATTAGCATCCCAAATGCAAGGATTTTCGTCCAAGAGATTATTAAACCCACATAATTGAATTGAGGAAGAAGATGAAGATGTAATAATCGTGCTGTCCATGGACGAACCATAAGGGAATATGGTGGATTCATTAAGATTCTGACCATAACAAGTTCCAAGAACATTATGGCCTTCACATTCAGAGTTAGCAATCTGCATTGCCATGGATTGATCAGGAGGAGGTGGTGGTGGTGCAGGAAGTGTAAGAACAGGAGGGTTCATCATAACCATGTTGGCATCTCTATTCTGTGAACTCATATTGAAAACTGTGAAGGATTGTTGTTGTGGTAGAGATGATGAATAATGGCATGCAAGTTTATTCGAGGCTCTTTGACGAGAAGAAAGGAGATTGTGGGTTTTTGGGTCCAGGCCTTGTGAGAGCAGCTTCTTCTTAATGCAAGAGTTCCAAAAGTTCTTCACTTCATTGTCTGTTCTTCCAGGAAGATGCTTGGCTATCTGAGCCCATCTGTCAAAAATATATAAACACATTCAATGAAAAGTCCAAATCATAGGTGTGTGTATATATATATATTAACGAATCCTTAGCTACCTTACCTATTGCCTAAAATTCTATGAACATCAATGATGATCTGTTCTTCTTCAGCTGTGAAGGAACCTCTCTTGAGGTCTGGTCTTAAGTAGTTGATCCATCTCAATCTGCAGCTCTTTCCACATCTCTGCAAGCCTGCAGTAACAACATTTACAAATTCATTATAACAATTTCTATTTTTCTCTCTCAGCTAGTTTAATATGATTTGTTGTCCTGTGAATGGAAAGAGGTTTGAGCTGAATAATATATACCAGCAAGTTTAGGAACAGAGCTCCAACTTCCATGGCCATGGGAAGTGATATGTTTGATGAGCTTGTCATCTTCTTCAGGAGACCATAAACCTCTTTTAACCTTCTGTTTGCTGCAGCAGCGATGGCCCATCCCAATTCCCCCACTCCCTCTTTTGTTGCCTATTGTATTCTTCCTTCCAAAACTCACCTCATCAGCCTCTTATCACCACCTCCTAATTTCACTCCAATTGAGAGAATAAGAGGTTCGCTCTTTTCAATTAAATTATTATTATTTAAAGGAATACGAAAGAGATTTGTCAGTGAAACTAAATTGCATGGGATTGTTAACATGCTAAATGGCAGAACATGTAACATGACAAGGCCCACTCTGAGTATGTTTTGTCCCAAATTTGGGTAACTGCCATCTGTGAAGAGCATCATGAATATTGAAAAGAGAAAAATGTCAAGTAAAATGTAAAATAGAAATAGTCTTTTTTTTTTTTTAATTGTTATACCAATTACAGTTAAAGTTTAAAATTGATACATAGTTAATGTATAATACATTAGTAGTAAATCATATATGAAGTCAATAAATTTTTACAAACTTTTAAAATAATTTCACAAAAGTTTAATTTTTTTAAAATAATTATATTAATGAGATAATATCTCACTGACACGTACAAGTATTAAATATAAAACCTCTTACAGTTATATTCAAAAGCATAAAATTGTAAGACAAATTAACATTATCAATAAGTAAAAGAATATAAGATCACCAAGGGTCCCAGAGCGCCCCACCCACACGGATATTAAATAAATATGAAACAATGTTTGTCAATTGGAGTATAAAATGGTGTCACTTATGGCTCACTCTTTTGTTTTGGTGAGAGTGACACTTGCGTTAGTTCACTTATTGCTCACTCTTCGATTGCACAAGACAGCGTCATCCTGTTATTAGAATGGTAAAACCCAGCTTAGCAAGGAAAAATAAAACACAAGTTTGCTAGCATCGTCAGGTTTCCTTTTTCGATTAGTTTTATTTCTTTTCATTATGGTTTTTTTCATCTCTCTGACGTCCAAATGGGTCAAACAACAAAAGTCCAACAGAGACTATTGGTCCAAAAAAGCCAATTATCTTAGAAATGTGCTGGAATCTTTACTTGGGGTGCACTCATTTGGGGTTTGGCCTCAAGGTCTAACTGAGTGCTTTGGGGGCTTCATCCCCACTCATTTCAATTTCCACTCCTGATAATTATTCAACAACAACCCTTATTAAGGTCCGTAAAATCCAACAAATGCACAGATCATGATCATGTGAACCTGTTAAGGAAACAAAAATGATTCAAGTCAAGAACCTCTTGACATAAATCGGGTGAAAGAAATTTTAATTATTTTCAAGTTCGGATCATCTTTACATTATGATTTAGGATTCCAAACTTGAATTATCCGGGATACGATGAATTTTGGTTTGAGTGTTTTATTTTTAAAATCACATCAAATTTGCTTTACACAAATTTTTTAAAAAAATATATCTAAAATTATATATAAAAAAAAAAAGTAAAAATTACAAAAGAAAACAGATATTGTAACTTTGAAGTTATTAAGTAGTAGTAGACTATAAGTGGAAAGTTATGGAACATGGTTTTAATTTAATTAAACATGGTGGAAAGTGATGCTTATTTTGCCGTAGCTGAGATTTTAAGAGCAACGAATAGTTTTAGACATTCCGGACTTAGCTTCACAATGTAGAAATTGCCAGTTAGGTAATACTAGCTAGGAGGTCTGCTAATTCTTTGGCTCCAAATATTGCCATAAGTGATTTGCACTGTTGGAAAACAACGACTTTGGGTGGAATCTCTGCCCGGCTTTATTTGTAACCAAAATGCTCTAGCAATTTAATGATACGCTAGTAGACTAATAATTTGTGCTATATTCATTATTTAAAAAAAAATAATATTTAAGAAAATTTAATTACGTTTTATTTAAATTATAATAATTTTGGATTAACTTTTTAAAACTAGTTAAATTTCGCTTGACTTTGAATCATTTGGATTCGAGTCGATTTAGATTCAATTTATTCTGAATTTAAGTTGATTTAGGGTTCAAGTCATTCCAAATCTAAATTAGGCAGATTGAGGTTATATATATATATATATATATTAAATAAGATCTTGTGGAATGTGTAATTAACTTATAAGGTACTATCTTTTTTTATTCGAAAATCTTATGATTTTATTTCGTAAAAAATGTCACATAAATTTAAAATTAAATCTTAATTTATATATTATATCAAATTCTTAAAATATTTTAATGTAAGATTAGAGTATAATAGTATTCAAAAAGTAAACAGCACTTATAATTTTTAAATTTGGAGTCATATATTTTTTCCGTCTTTATACTTTTAAATGTCACTTATTGGTATTCAAACTTTCAATGTTGCATCAAAATAGTCTTTTTGTAAAAAAAAACCCCTTAATTAAATCTGATTTTAAAGATTAGTTGACGTCCTATATATGTAAAAATGATAGGTACGTGAATGCTGAGATTATTTATAATTTTTGTATCTAAGTTTAATTTTAAAAATCAAAATTATATATAAAAAGTTATTAAAAAACCTAATTAAAATTAGAAAATTTAAAATAAAGTTTATTAAAATAAAAAATTTAAACTTAATTATTTTAAATTGTAAAACTACATAAAATAAACAAATATATTTTTCTAAAAATTAAAAAAAAAATAAAAACTTTAGAAATTAGAAAATTTTAAAATTTTTTTAAAGTATAAATTTTGATAAAATCTATTAAAAATAAAAAATTTATTTAAAAAGAAAATTTTGAAATTTGTTTATTTTAAATTATAATATTTGATAAAATATATTAAAAATATATTATATTTTTAATAAAAACTACTTAAAAAATATAAATTTAAAAACTTATATATTTGAATTATAATATTAATATTTGTTAAAATTTTATATTATATTTAAAAATAAAAAAATTATTTTCCTTAATTGATTATCAAAAATGAAAACAATTAAATAAATGCTTTATTTTATTTTCATATTTTTCTTTCAATTGTCACATCAATCACGCTATACACTTTTTTTTTTTTTTTTTTTTTTTTTTCATATCAAGAGTCGTATGAAAACAATTAACCATAAAGTTAATAAATCCATGGAAAAATCATTTCTATTCAACATTGAAAATTTAAAAGACCAACAAATTATGTTTTAAACTTGATGAACCAAATGATACACGCCATAAAATTTGGGAATTACAGATTTTATTTACTTTATATAAAACTTCATTAAAAAAATTGCAACTTTTCATGTTTGAGTTGTTACACTTACATCTTTCATAAAATCTATAATGACCGGAATCGCATGAACCTGATCCACATTTGAAACAATTTGAACTCAAAAGTGATTTGAGCGACAAGATCAAGCTTAACATGATCTGAAGCCACCTGAAACATTATGACCTGAGCTCACACATTTGCTACCCACATATCCATAGCGAAGAGAGCAGGATGCAATTGTGCCATTTCTTTAAAATTGTATCTTCGATTATTAAAAAAAAAGAAAAAAAAAAAAAAAAAAAAAGAGAAACAAATTGAAAATTATAACAGTCGATGAAATAATTTACACTTTTACAGCTCTCAAGTCAAATATTTTATGTCGATTTTTCAACCTTTGTGATAAGCATGATTGTTTGTCTTGATCTTTCTTTGTGTATTCAACTAATGACAAGATATGTCTACCAATTAAATCATGCAATCCATTTGTTTTAATTTCCATTTGTTTTTGTGGTATGAGCTCATAGTCCTTTTTTGGGGTAACTGATTGAGTCGGCCAATTGCTAAACTTCCGTTATAGTGGTCACTTATTTCTTTCAGTTTAGATTACGACAACACTATTATTGTCTTTTAAGATAACAAGAAGAAAGGAACTGCTACTATTAAGATATATAATACAGACAACTTCTTTTATCACTCTTTTATTTCTTAATTGTCTACTTGAAGCCACTTAGTTGTCCGAGTCTTTGTCCATTTAATAGTACGAATTAGTGAATCATTCATCCCATATGGTTACTTGTTTTGTTTTTCTTTCTCTGATATTAACCTTCATTCTGGTTCAATTTTAATCAAAAGCTAAATAAAATAAAATACTCTTCCATTTTCTACAAAAAAAAAAAAAAAAAGAAAGAAAGAAAGAAAGAAAGTATTGTTGTTGTTAAATCATATGTAACTGCTTGCAAGAGACTCGTTTTCTTATAGGAGAGTAGAAAATCCATTTACCGGGTACAAGAGAAACGAAGCTCTTATATGAATTTCACGAGTAAAAATAATGATTCTATAACGAAATTAGGACGATAATGGATACCATATTAAATTTTAACATTTATCATTCAACCTAAAACATTCGACAATAGATGAAAACGCCCTTATTATTTCACACGAACAAAATTATCTCAGTCTAACTGATTTAATATATATATATATTTCATCGTCAGTCTAATAGATATTTTGTCACGTAAAATATTTTTTTTTATATATTAACCCAAGTATATGAAAATAGTCAATCAATCTTTAAATTTTATCCATGGTGACTAATTGATGTTGCTAACCGAAAGTAAAGTTTTTGACCTAAACTAATTGGAGAACCATCCTTCTAGTAACTCATTAAACATATATTGTTCCAATTTTGGACGTTACTTCATCAAATATTTTTCTTGTACCAAAAATTAGCTGTGTTCCCAAGTAAAATCCGAAATGATAACATCAAATACTAAACTCATAATTAAATTATATATCTTTATTTGTTAGCTATATATTTCAATTTCTTGATCAACATATTTAGGAGCTGACGCATGATTTGCGATTAATATATTATGTACTACCTAACAAAAGGATAGAGATTAAAATTTTGATGAATTAGTTTGTTAAGTTTCCACCAAGAGAAGCTAACAGGTTTTCAACCCTTGTGCTGAAGAAAAACGTATGTCGACGATGAAGTAACATAGTGGATAATCAAAGTCTACACTTCAACCAAAATCAATATTTTAAGTCACATAATTTTTAACTAATTATCTTACTTTATAGAAAAAAAAAATCATAATTTGCATTATAGAAAAAAAAATAGCGAAAGTAGGTCGTCTTTGACATTGAATTTATGCTCTTTTTTTCTTCCTTTTTTTTTTTAACATAAAATGAGTTTGCAATTATAGACCACTAGAATTAGTCCCACTACACTGGGGTAGGCTAATTATTTCAACATAAAAATACTAAAAATAAAATGAACAAAAAATATTATAAATATATATATTAAAATTTAAAAAATATATATAGTATTTCATATATAGCAATTATACTTTTTTGTTATTTTTTCTATATTATGTAATGAGTGTTGTATTTTTTTATTAATTATTTGATCAAAATATATGATTTTTTTTTAACTTTTTAGATTATAAATTTTTTATAAAAATATTTAAAACAAAACAAAGAAAAAAGAAAAGTAACATGATTTTTATTTTTATATCTTTTTATATTTATATTCATATTTATCATTATTATTATATTTTTTTATTTTATTTTATTATAAATAATAAATGATTAAAACTTAAAACCTATAAAAAAAAAAAAACATCCAATTACAATATAGTATTAGATAAACGCTACATTTCTTTTTTCAAATGCAATTAATGTCTAACTCACCATTTCTTAATCAAATTAAAACCTAAGACACTATAATTAGCTAAACCGAACGACTTATTAAATGTTTTTATAAACAATAGTTATTTGACAAATTGAAAGTAATGTGACAGCTTAATTGAGCCTATCTTTCAATTAAGAGTTATCTCGACTTGGAAACCATTTTTATTGTATGTTATTGATTAATCTACGTGAGAAGAAGGTATTAGTACTCTTACAATATCTATCAAAAGATGATATCAATGAATTTTATATTATCTTAAAAGGAACTTATGTAAATGATCTTTTTTTCTTAATTAAATTTCATTATTTAAAATATTAATAAAATTTTAAATTATTTCTAATGTTTTGATAGAATTTTGAAAAAATTCTTTCACCTAAGGAATATTCAAGAAACTTATTCAATTTCTTAAAGAGGTTGCGTCATCGGATTAATTTAAAATTTTATAAAAAAGTTTATTTTTATTTTTATTTTATCAACCTTTATTTTTACCAAATATTTTGTTAAAAATAAACAAAACATTTTTTTTTTTTGAAATACTTCCAAAATCTTTCAAACACTTTTAGTAAGAGTCTAAAAAAATAATCACATAGGAATTTCAAACACCACTTGTAATTTTCTTTTAATTTCATTTTTGGAAAAAATTTTCATTTACTACCACTTTTAAATCTATGTGATACAAATAAATAAATGTAATTATAAAAATTTTATAAATTTATTTGTATAACACATATTTTTAGTTTTTTTATGTTGTCAAATCATTAAAACATATTGCTAATATAAAATTTTAAATATGTACATAAATAAAAACTAAACAAATAAATATGAAAATCAATAAAGAAAATAAATAAATAAATAAATAAACTAAAAATAAATTAAATTAAATTAAAAAAGAAAAAAAATACTAAAAGTTCTTTCTCAAAATCACTTTTAATTAATTTATTTCATACCTTAATTAACCCTTTAATTATTTTTCATGTCTTATATGTCTTTAAAATTGAGGAATTTCACGTATGGGGATAATTTTAATATATACTAGAAATCATCCTCAGCTTTGCTTGGGGTCGAGTTTTTTCAATAAAAAATTATATTTGTTCACTTATTAATCTAAATTGAACATTATGTGCATAAAAAACTGCTAAAATCACCTTAAGATCATTGGAAATGGAATCAACAAACATAAATTGTTAGTTGTTAAGAAGTTCAAAAGATAAAATAAAAACATAAATAGTTAACATAAAAAATTCAAAATATCGCCTATAATCATAAATAGATGTAATAAAAAACTTCAAAATGTAAGCCAAAAACATTTTGAAAATGCATTACAAAGTAATATCTTTTTTGTTATAATAATTTTTTTAAAAGAGCCTAGAAAGATTAAAAAATGAGTAATTTGGTTCAAAAACATCACTATTTGAATACTATCTTCTACCATAAGCATCTAAATTTTTTTAATCAAGAGTCATAGTTTGTTGTAGATACTTAATTTTATCTAAACTAATCGAAATTAAATTCAAATTGCATTCGTGATTTTAATGTGTCCATTTTAAACTCATCTAAGTATTTTAATCATGTTTTTCAATTATTATATTAATAAATCTTAAAAAAAAAAAGAAGCAATAGAAAACTTTGAAAACCTTTAAACAGTCAAATTTTAGCAATTTAGTTATTGAATTTTTTTTATTGCCCACCCTGCAACTGCCTAACTTGGCAGCACAATTCAAGGGAGAAAAGTCTTTTCCAAATCCTAAAAAATTTAGAATTTCTTCATAGATTGATTCTTTAAATTGAGCCTACCTAAATCATCCACACACATGGCCAACACCATCTCTATCACCATGCCAGAAAAAAGACAACCTAAACAACACTACCATGCCCCTTTTTCACAATCCTCTGCCTAGCCCCATCAGACTCATGGCCAATACCATCATCAAACACCATCACAACCAGCCTACCCATACCACCATACCTCACCTATCCCTATTCTGCCTAAGCCTTTTACCACCACCAACCACCTCCATTCAAACCAACCTACCATAAAAAAAAAGACATCGAACAGCCTTCTATCCAAACCATCGTGAATCCCATTGCTACCATAAGAATCAAAATCCCAACACTTTCAAGCAACAACCACTTCCATTCAAACTAAAAAGTTGCCAAACAAAAACCAACAAAAAATTTCTCTTGAAACAATAAAACACCAATAGCCTCTCAAAAAAAAAAAAAACCTTAGCGAAAAAAAAGAAAAATTCAACCATATCTCTTGAAAACGAGGAACCACAATGCAAAAACTAGCAAAAAAAAAAAAAACACTCGAAAAACAAAAGAAAATCATTTTGGCCAAAATTTTAGGCCTTGTTCTACATTGATTAAGGCCGTTCCTTATGAAAATGAGGCCAAATAAGAACTTAAGAGGCCAATAAGTTTTTTTTTAAAATTTTGTAGACACCATTTTATTTATTATTTATTATTTTTCTTTTTCTAGCAGCTTTTCTACTGGTCGCCGGTAGTTGCACTGCTAACGATTCTAATACCTGCCTACAGCTGCATTGTTAGCAGCTTTGACAGCCATCGATAGCTCTGATAGTTTGTGGCAGCCTTAATCCTAGGCCACCAAAATCTTAGATTTTATGAGATTTTGGTCTTCTCTTTTTTGCTCTATAAATAAAGCAATGAAGTCGGCAAAGAAAAAAAAGAGAAAACCCCACAAAAAAAACACACTCATTGTCGAATTCTAAAAAAAACTTATGTAAAAAAAAAAATCAAACACCAAAACACAAATAAAACAAACAGTCCTTAGAACTGGAACCACGGAGTTAGTAAAAAAAAAAACCACAAAAATAAAAAAAACCAATTTGGCCCAATCGTCCAGGCCAAATCTCTGCTATTTGGAGCCTTTTTTTTTTTTTGTAAAACTAAGCAAGAATTTGGACTCAAGAGGCTAGGAACATTCATTTGGTGAGTTTTTGGATTTTTCAGTGATCGATGTACATCAATTGACGACCATCGACTACGATCGATACGGCATAATAGTCATCAATTTTTAGGTTTCTAGAGAGAGAAAAAGAGTGTCTGAGAGGAA